TTATTTATTTATTTATGGTCAACGTGGAGCCAAGGTTTACAGACATGTTCAAATACAGTCTACAAAGCAGCATGTCCTTTAGAAAGCAGGATAATACTATAGTTGTGGAAAAAATCCTGGAGTAAATTGCATCCTGGCATTTGTTTTACCATGGACAGCAGCAGGGGGCTACTACTATTTACAGAAGCCAGTTTGGGGACTGTACGTACTGGTGTCTGGCCATTTAGCAGATCACCAGGCCAAGGACTCTGCATTTCCCTGTGGACACAGTTCGCTGGCTGGGTTCTGGTCCTTAAAAGATGGAATCAATGTTTAATAGAAATTAGCAAATTTTGTGTAATTATACTAATTAGAGCTTATAGTGATACTGCACCTGATCATGGAAATAGTGTTGAGCTAGCTACCTTTTTACTGAGTGAAGTTCAATTGGCAAAGTTCTGGAAATACCAAAGTGTTGCATCCGAGATGTGTTCTGTGGCCTTGTGGACATGGGAAGAAAGTAGACTTAAGGAGTTCTTATTGTCACATACTTTTTTCCCCTAGATACCTTTTCCCATAAGGTACATTCAGAAGACATAGTGGAGCTCGGACAAACTTCTGTACTGAGAATATTTTGTTCTTCTGGTCTGTTCTGCTACATTCTGCTCTGCTTCTTCAGGATCACAGGGGCAATACACATGCTTTTCCCCTTTTAGAGTGGCAGTTAAAACATGGGCTCCGCCCCACTGAGTAGACTGCTTATTCACTTTTTTCCTAGTGTTCATGACAGTGCTAATGATTTCACTGAAGAATCCATTTTTTTAACCTGTTTATATAACAAAGATTCTACTAATTCAACCTCTTGCTCTGTTAATCACGGCCCTGATGCCTTAGCAAGAAAGGCATAAAAGTGTTACCACTTCTGCCTCTGTCTGCATTTGCAAGTTCTGAGCAGCAGTTCAAACAGGTGAGTATTAAGTCATCAGAGCACCTCTGCAAGGTATCCACAAAGCTCCTTGCTTCACTGATGTCTTCAAATGTAAACCTGACAATTCTTCCAGTATAACACTGATGATTTTGTTCATCTTTCAGATGGCTTCTCTTCCCCTTTTTCTCTTTGTTGCAACAGTGCTGTTCGGATTTTTTATTTTATTTTATTTTTAAAATTTTCTGGGCTTTATTCCTTTTCAAAACTTGTTTTTGTGACTCTCATTAGACTTCGTGCCCTGTAATACCTCATAGTGTCTCACTCATCCTCCGTGGCTCACCCATTCACTTCTCTTCCTCTTGCACGTCATCATCTCTCTGCTGGAAATCACAATGTGTGTGTGCCTTTCTGCCTTGAACCTTGCATCTTCCTGTCTAAACTATCTGCCTCTCCAGTTCACAGCCTTGAATGACTTTTTCTCATCTCCTTATATCACCTCCATATCCTGCTTTTTTTCCTTTCTGGGTTCATGCTATTTCTTCCAAGAAATAATTGAAAAAAAAAAACATGTTACTGACTCCCACTCCTTTTTATTTCTTTCCTTTCTTACAATACAACTGCTTCTTCTGCTTCTTTCAGTGCCATAACTACACCCAAATTCGTCCCATTAACCTCTCATCTGAGCAGCCTCGCACTCATCCTGTCCTTCATTCCTTTCTGCAGCTAATCTGGCTTTTCACTTTAAAATGTACTGTAGTCTTTCTGATTTTTAAAAACGTTCTGCTCTTGTTCCTGTTACTGTCCATTTCAACTCACTGAATGAAACTCCCGTTGGTTGCTCTGTGAGGTTTACTCCTTTGAGCATAAGGACTCACGTACCTGTGCTTGGGGATAGTGCCTGTCTATATTAGTCTCTTGGTTATCATCTTATGCTTTGACTTTAAGTTGTTTGTGGCAGAGCCCATCTTTTCATCTTGGGTTTATGAAGAACTGAGCATGACTGTGTTCCCTTCCTCAGCTGTGCAAATAATAAAGCATGACAGAATGACGAATTCAGTACTTTAGCACTGCCATCCGCTGGCTGTCTTTTATCACAGCACTCCATATTTGACTAAAATCCTGAAGTTTTGGTTTTGTTTCATCTGCTGCTACTGAAGTGGAATGTACTATTGTAGGAATGCTCTTTGAGAGTCATGGAAATGCTATAAGTCTTTATGCTATATTCCTTCCAAATACAAGATGTATGCCTTTTGTTTTTTGCTCTACAAAATGAAATATTGAGGTTGGTAACTCAAATGCTGAAGAATCAGGAAATTCTGTGTTAAACTGTTATGTAAATTAACTCACCTGCACTACCTGAATGATCTGTATGTTTTGTAATATATTTTGCTCATGCATAAGAAACATGCAATACTTAAAATTAAGCTGTATATGAATGCAAAGTGGAAATAGGATAATTTTGTAATATTGTACAATTTGTGTGATACCTCCCCTGACAACACTTCCAGCCTCCACCTTGTTTAGGCATGTCCTGAATCAGCATGGTTTCTCTATTTTAATCATCTTCAGTGGTTTTCCTTTCCATGAGCACATCCAGTTTCTCCTTGGAGCCATATATAAAGAGTTTGGTGGTATTTTGTTGGCTTTTTGTTTTCCCCCTCACTATTTTATCTTTTTAAACTTTGCCCTCTTTCATTCCCTGATTTTCTTTTACTTAATTTCTGTGATATAATCAAGCTTGTTATAATTCAGCCTACTAATATATGATTAATATTAATGTTAATTTAAATAATACTCCATATGATTAAAACAACTTGTCTTTTACGTTTCCTAATGTGTATCCTGAACAGTGGCAAGAATATTCACTTCCTTAGTAGAACAACTCCTCTGTGACAGGATACTATGAAAATCTATCCAGATGTGAAGTCCAGTAAATTTATATGCAGATATGTTTTAGAAAGATTTTGAAAGAAAGGATAAATATAAATATCCAAAGGAAAAAGTGTGTTGATTGTTTCAAATTCAATTTTTTATCCAAATTACTGCCATATACTGAAATATTACCCAGAATTCTAGGAAATACAGAAGCAGATTGTGAGCTCAAAGATGGAGAACTAATTGAATTCTTAATTGTAATTACTCATCTAGGCAACACAGTGACCTGGGTTGTCTCCCTGAATGTCAAAAGCTTTTGAAATGGTATCCTGGCACAGGTACCACACTAAAAGCCTGACTCTTGTCCATCTAAAAGAGAAGTTATCTGTCAGAGGAAGATTTGCTTGAAAGGAGGTCACTATTTGCAATCAAAATGCTTTCTTCCTTATGACAAGGCAGGATGAATTGGTCTTTTTATTACTTACTTTTGTTTCAACCAAAATTTGTCACTCTGGGCATAAAGCTTCCAAGTACTTCAAGCTACAGGGCTTGACTGAGTTATAGACCTTATACAATCCCCCTGTGAAAGCATGAATTTTTCTCATAAAGCCTGAAGCTTTATTTTATTGATGTGTAACTGAACAAATAACACCTACTTGGCAGTGAAATTTGGAGCAGATGAAGAACAAAACAAAGCAAAATTAATTACTCTTTATTTCTACTACTTACAAGTGACTAAAAAATAAGGCATTTAACATGGTTTTGGTGCCTTAACAAATAACCAGATCTGCATCTGATTTCCACTACCTATACTACACATACTTGAAAACTATCAGGGTCCACACACAGCTGAAAAGTATGATCCACCAGCAGAAAATACACACATTACAGAAGAATAGTGAAAGAGGACCAAATAACTTTCCAAAGGATTTTTGGCAAATTTTTGCCTTTTAGTTAAAAGGGTATTTGAAATATTTCTTGCCTCTCTTGAATTTATTGATGTCTGTAAGCTAGTAAATCTTTCCTCTACAAACCTAAAAATACCTGGTGCAAATAAGTGGAATCTTTCTCTTCAGAACATTAAGAAGCAGAAATTGAGTTTGCCTTGCTTCTTTTGAAAAGAACTTAATAGCCAAGAAATTAAAGTGCTTCCTAGTGTTTTGATGCACCAGTACTGATTGGCTTGATTATTCTGTCAAAGTTAATAAAGTGCATAAACACAGCAAGTAGACCTTCATGATACATCTACTTTCAGAAACTACGGAAGCAAGTAGAAGCTTCATTAAAGAAATAAATAATTATCTGTTACTTCAGGAGCATGTGATCACTGTCTTTGATTTCTTGTGGCTGGAAAAATATTAAGACAGAGGTCAAAACACAGGCTGAAAGTATTTTATAATGTACTTACATGTCACTGGCAATGGAGGAGTTCCTGGACATGGACTTTGGAGATAAGTCATAGTCACTGTCTGACCGGTAGAGGAAAGACTCCCTACGTTGACTGTGGACAAAATTTGCCTGAAGAATAAGCCCTGATCCAGGGCTTGTCATGGGATCCAAGGGACTTCGCCCCGATGCTGTACCATTGTCTACGTCGAAACTGCAAAAAGGAAGGAGAAAAAGATTTATTGCATTGACATAAGAATTTTGAAAGGAATAAACACTCTTCTGACAAATTTATCAATAGATAATTGCTTTTTAGTAATAATGGGGAAATAAAGACCTGGTCAAGTCCACTGCTAAACCAAAAATCAAGGCACACATAAAAAATACTTTAAAGTTGCTAATAACCAAAAAGGATAAGTCTGAAGAAAGAGAAAATTGGTAGAGGAAGAAACACTACTAGGAAAATAAGAAGCCTTATGTTCCTCTGCATACAGAGTATCCACCAGCTCTGTACCAGAGGGAACATGGTATTTCCTTGTTTTCCTTCTCAGACCCCATCTCTTCTGAGCTGAATCCTGATTATCCTTTTTTCCTGCTGCTGAGGCAGTTGAGGGCTCTTTTCTTACCAAGTACCCAATCCTAATATTTTATGACTACCCAAATATTTCAAGACTATATTTTGTCTTATTCCAATAAACAAAGTATTGGGATGTTATTAAGGCATGTGTCTGTGCTTGAACACATTTACATGCATTGGAGTTGCTGTTTTACAATGAGATGTAAGAAATGAGTTCTTTGCTAACTGCCATGTGGTGGGGCATCTTGAGTGGCCATTTATGCCTTTGAACTACATAGTTTACATCCAGTACTTTTAGCTACTGAATTTGGTACTAAGAGTGGTATAACAGGCTCATCATTCCTAGGGAACAGTGCTGTCATGAGAGGATGAAGGGTGAAGGGAGAGAAAGGAAAAGAAAGAGAGAGAAGATGCTCTTTTGCATAGTCTGTGGCGTTTCCACAGAGGGCTTTGCAAATCAGTACAAAAACCCTGAATGAGAGTCTGCAGTCAATTAGAAACTAGCACAGTGTGAGCAGGGCTAGGAGGATATGTACATGGCAACTCATGTTGCTTAGTATCCCAGCAGCTCCGTTTGGTTCCGTATGGAGTCTTTTTTGAGCATGTGACTCCATTTTCAGACTCTAATGTGGTGTTGTATGTGATCTCAGAAGTTACAAATGTGTGGATTAGCAAGATTATGACTCCATCTCATGAGATGAAGCACATTTTATCCAGCCAGAAGTGCAAGATGACTTCTGTTTCCCTTGTTGGTTGTGTTTTTATAAAACCAAAGATAGGCTTTTGTTTTACAGCATAGTAGGAAAGGTGTGCATGAGACCTTGGCTTGTAACTACTTGGGCACATCTACCATACTAACGAGAACTTAAATAATGCTGCTAAAGCATTTAGGAATGAGGGATGAACAGAGGATCTTTCACATCATTTTTTAAACATGGATAAAAGTTAGCATCGTAATATGCATTTGTATTGTACCCATCTGAAGTAATCATTTTGAAAATAGTGTTCATATGAAGGACACCCACTGGTTTTCAATTGCATCAAATGACAGTGGAAGATAAAATATTCAATACATGTCAGCTATTGATTAGACTTCAGCCTGGCGCAGGTGTCACAGCAGGTACATGCTACTCTGCACTAGCTTCTTTCTTGCTGTTATCTACCATTGACCTGAGGTTTCAGTGAGATTGCTGCTTTAGTATTTTACTGGAGCAACAGTATTCTCATGTCCTTTTTTTTTCTTTGTTAAGTGAACTAATCAAAGAAACATATTGCCTACTTTTAGAGACACACGCTGCCTGGCAAAGAATGGGCCTTGGTTTCATGTTTAACTGTTACTTTACATGTATTCCTGGAACTGCAAGGTTTCTGGATTTCTCAGACTGAATTATTTAATTCACATTCACTTTTTATGGCTTGAATGTAGAAAAGCAAAATGGCTAGTTTTTTTGTTTGTTTGTTAAAAAATAACCCGCAGAAAATGGTATTAAACATACTTCAAGATATCTTACCAATTTAATCCTCTTTTCACTGTAGTTTTGAGAACAATTCACTGCCAGTAAATCCTAACACATTCACTTCTTTCTAAATATGATTTCCTTTGATTATGCCTGCATACTTTTTCTGAGTCCTAAAATATGGTGCTACTACATGACATTATCAATCCCAAATTAAAGCTTAATCCATAAGACATCAAATGAGAATTGTGCCACCAGACTACTGAGTGATCCTGGACAAAGCAAAGCTCCTCTTTGCCTTTCATTTTCTCTATTCTTTGCATTGATGTGATTGTTAAAATACTTAATAGCATATTGGAAAGTGCAAGGCAGCATGAAGACTAGAACAAAACATCCTTTGCAGCTTACAGTGCCATATGTTACTAACAATATTGTCATTACTACTAGCATGGCTACTATTAAACACTAGTGATATCTCTGAGTTTGAGTGCCTGAGTATTCCAGGAGCACAAAATACTTACAATACCAGTGAAGGGTTTTGAATATCTGTGAGCTCATCATATCCAAATTTCTTAACGTTTTTATTTCACTGCCTAAATATTTTTTTTTTTCTTTAAACATCTGGAAGAACACACAGACTCCTAAATAATGCATAGTATGCTTGTTTCTTTTTTCTCTTGAGGGCAACAAGGCAGCTATTTCATGCAATTTTAGGTAAAATAGATTTTTTAGTTAAAATAGAGAAAAATTTACTCCTGTGCTCAATAACATTAACTTCTGCAATGGCAGTATCATTTCAGATATATACAAGCTTTTTTTAAAGCTCTAAAGCAAAAGTTAAAAGTGGGATAGAAATTAATGATGGCAAATGTAAGTCTGCCTCCCAGCAGGAAATTTTTTAAAAAGGAATGACTACTAAATTGATTTCTTTAACAGTGAATTCTATTATTCAACTCATTAAAAGGTATTTTATTAGAATAAAGGAAAATATGGGTTTGTTAGCAGATTTGTTTTGTTTTCTTCACCCAACTTTTGTGAACATGATATGAGTATTTTATTACCAGTCTTATTTCTGCCAGTCAGAAACTGAGGCAGGCTTTTGTGAATAATTTCACTTGTCACATTATTTTTAAAAATAGCGATTTTTAAAAATTTAGACGTCTACTAGACAAAAATGCAGCTTTATTGTCTGGGAGAGGCCCTGTGGTTTGCACCACCAGGTATCTATAACTATGAGCAAGACTTGCAACGTGGCTCTTGTGACAGGAATTTTATCCTGTGATATTGTATTGTGTCCACTAGATGGGTGTCAAAAGTAATGAAGAGAATAGAATTTGGCTCATACTGCTCAACGAGTATGTATTTCATGTAAATATGCATCAAGAAAGAAAGTATTCAGTTCTACAGTCAAAGGGGAATGTGAGTACAGTACTGGCTTGCCAAAAACATACCTTGATATTACAAATTTTCTAAAATGCAACAGCACTTAAATGTCTCTTCTAGCTTTTACTGAGACATTTACTAACAATCTCAGACACTAAAGCTCATAGAAATCTTAACGAAAAAAATGTGTTATTACACTGAAAAACAAATAAATTGTCACTTTGGCTGCGTCACAAGATTTATTCACAAGAAATGGTGCTGCTGATCACACTGCATCAAATGAATGCAGAATCAGAGTAGGGAATTGAAGACTTTCACACAAGTTGTTCTTTCTTGCTGCATACAATGAAAAAACAAACAAACAAACAAAAACAAAAACAAACAAACAAACAAACAGACAAAAACTTTAAGATACCAAATAGGATAAACTCTCTAATTCGGCTGCACAGAAATTGCAGAAGGTCAGCTGTGGTTGCTTTGTTATTTATCTTTCCACTCCTGTTAAGTTTTAAGCCACAGCAAGAATGTGCTGTGAATTTAAAAGTGCACACATCACATAATTTTCTGCATTCAAAGAGATTTGCTGCAACTCCAGAGATGCCAAAGCTATGAAAAGCCAGTGCTAATTCAACAACTTTTTTGTCTGCAATTTGACAAAATGTTCTATGACATTAGAACTGTTTATCCTTAGAGGCTCCCTTATTCAGTGTTCAGTGATGACAAACAAGACATGAGATGGAAGTTCAGCCTTTTCTCCTTTTTTGGCAATTTATCATGTTTGCACGTCTTGACCACTGGGTACCATTCAGTCTCTGTACTGAAATGGAGAAAAAGGTGGTTAACTCTCTTGAATGACTTGTAAACATGCGTGGCTGATCTCTGCTGTGCTCCTAATACAATAAGAAGCAATAACATCACAAGCCACTTTTAGGAATATTATTAATTAATTGCTTCAGGTAACAGTAGGAATCCATGGCAAGGACAGGAGAGGTTGGATCCTGGATCTCAGCAACACTGCTTCATTATTAATGACTGCGCAGCTTCTTTAAACAGTTAAAGAAACCCTCTGTAGACTTCCTTTTGAGTCTTTAAATAACACTCCTACTCTCTGTGAGGCTGCTAAAAGAAAAAAGGGGAAGATCTGTGTACAAAATACAGCTTTTAGTTACATAAGGAGTAATGGCCTCTTAATGAATATGCATAAGATCTTGTAATTAAGGCCACATAGAAAATCTTTATGTTGCTCTTCTGTATTACCGAGAGTTGTGCAATTTAATCCTGTAGGGTTTTTTTTTGCTGTGGCTTTTTGTTTTTTTTGCTTCAGAGAAGTTAGCATAGTAGAAGAGGGAAGGAAATAAATTCCATCCCAAAATGAAGACATTACTGGACTTTTTAGGAATACAAATAACATTCCTGATATTCCCCTTTAAGTCTTTCTCCACCTTCAGCCTGTCCTATCCTGGAAACTATGAGTAGGGAGATAGATAGGAGCCAAATTAATTGATCTTCTAGGGACACCTTATCTTTTAAGGCCATCGTTAAACATTACAGAGGGACAAGTAAGTGCTAGAGGAACAAACTCTGTTCCCCATCAAAGAAGCCTATTGTTCTGGTGTCAAACAATCTCTCCAGCCATCTTTCTGTGCTATGATTTACCTACACATCTCAGCATCCTTACTTCCCAGAAGTCCTATTCTGTATTTTCCCACCATCATACAGAATGGGTGCATTTGGCATAGCAGCTGTAATTCACTGAAATTGTCACACAAGAACTTCCCTGTAGAAACTGCCTTTGGG